TTGGGACTTATTTGTCGCCCATTTTTTTCGCCGTTGATCCTATTGTCTTTTCTTATATGCTTTGTTGTATTCACTTAACACTTGATGTCCTTTTACCAGTTGGCCACGTTTTTGTTTGTTGTCACTTTTTTATGTCACCTTTTTATATCGCCATTTGACAACATTTTCTCATTTATCCACTGCACACTTGATGATTTTTCTTATTCACTATCTGGCCACGTTTAATATTTTTTTGTCATTTTCTTATGCCACTTTTTTTTTTATCACCATTGACAGTGCTTTTGGTTCTTCTAATATGGTATCTTTATGCTATTTATCCACCGACATTTGATTTTTTTTTTTTTGCATTCACTTTTTGACCACATTTTTCTCCTTATTGCCACTTGTTTCACTCCTGTGGATATTATTGTGCACACTAGTTACTTGGTGTATGTGATTGTTCACTCATTTTCAGTTTTATGTGATTGTTCACTCATTTTCAGTTTTATGTGATTGTTCACTCATTTTCAGTTTTATGTGATTGTTCACTCATTTTCAGTTTTATGTGATTGTTCACTCATTTTCTGTTTTTTTATGTCATTGTTCACTCATTTTCTGTTTTTGTATGTCGTTCACTAATTTTCTGTTTTTGTATGTCATTGTTCACTCATTTTCTGTTTTATGTATGTGATTGTTCACTCATTTTCTGTTTTATGTCATTGTTCACTCATTTTCTGTTTTTTTTATGTCGTTCACTCATTTTCTGTTTTTGTATGTCATTGTTCACTCATTTTCTGTTTTTGTATGTCATTGTTCACTCATTTTCTGTTTTTGTATGTCATTTTTCACTCATTTTCTGTTTTTGTATGTGATTGTTCACTCATTTTCTTTTTTATGTCATTGTTCACTCATTTTTTCTGTTTTATGTATGTGATTGTTCACTCATTTTCTGTTTTATGTCATTGTTCACTCATTTTCTGTTTTTTTATGTCGTTCACTCATTTTCTGTTTTTGTATGTCATTGTTCACTCATTTTCTGTTTTTGTATGTCATTGTTCACTCATTTTCTGTTTTTTTATGTCATTTTTCACTCATTTTCTGTTTTTGTATGTGATTGTTCACTCATTTTCTTTTTTATGTCATTGTTCACTCATTTTCTGTTTTTGTATGTCGTTCACTCATTTTCTGTTTTTGTATGTCGTTCACTCATTTTTTCTGTTTTTGTATGTCGTTCACTCATTTTCTGTTTTTGTATGTCATTGTTCACTCATTTTCTGTTTTTGTATGTCGTTCACTCATTTTCTGTTTTTGTATGTCGATCACTCATTTTCTGTTTTTGTATGTCATTGTTCACTCATTTTCTGTTTTTTTATGTCATTGTTCACTCATTTTCTGTTTTATATGTCATTGTTCACTCATTTTCTGTTTTTGTATGTCATTGTTCACTCATTTTCTGTTTTATGTATGTGATTGTTCACTCATTTTCTGTTTTATGTCATTGTTCACTCATTTTCTGTTTTTTTATGTCGTTCACTCATTTTCTGTTTTTGTATGTCATTGTTCACTCATTTTCTGTTTTTGTATGTCATTGTTCACTCATTTTCTGTTTTTTTATGTGATTGTTCACTCATTTTCTGTTTTATGTGATTTTGTTCACTCATTTTCTGTTTTATGTGATTTTGTTCACTCATTTTCTGTTTTAGGTCATTGTTCACTCATTCATCTATCAGTAGTTTTTTTGATTTATGTGTTATTGTTTTATTGAGGTTTACTCTTTTTTAGGGAAGTAGCGCAGCGCCATCTTTTTTCACACATTGGTTTTACTACTTGATTATAGTTGAGTGTTAGCAGCCACTTCATTTTTGGGTTAGTCCATTTGGCAGCACAGCAGGATTTTTTTTTTTCTTTCAAGCTGTAAATGTGAGTTTTAATTTCAGATCCAGTCTGCATTTTGCGTACATTTGTTATCTTTTGTTCCTGTGTTAATCTCTCGGCAGTTTCATATTTTTCGTACAGAAAATTATATAGTACATGGGTAGCAATTTGATGTGCTCTTGAGCGGCCTGCCATATCTGATATTATTACTGCCCAGATGAGTACTTTTCATGTGCTGGTCGTGATGGAAAAACTGGGGGTACCTCTTTGAAGTTTGTGTATTCTGATCTCATATACCATATCAATGCCATTCCCCGGGTTTCAAGACTTTTCTCCATAAACTCACCTCTAAGGAAAGCCTACGCGCTTTCGCAATCTGCGGCTATAATTGGCTTTCCCAGGAGCTGCGTCTATTTAGACCTGTCCAATTAGGCCTCACTTTTTAAAAAAAAAAAAAAACCTGTAAATTTCTCTGCAGTAAAACCTCTTGGCAGTATCTTGGAATAAGTCATTTGATAAATGTTAATGTGTCTTAGTAACCGCGTTTAGCTGTGCTGTGTACAAGACGGTATGTTGTAGAACTTGCAGTTCCCTTTCATTCAGATCAGTGTTAAGTCTTGAAAAGGAACTGGGGTGCATTACATTAGGCGGTTTAATCCTCTAGCACAGGGGTCTCCACACTTTCCGAATGAAGGGCAGATATACTGTCCTTGAGACTTTGAGGGGGCCGGACTGTGGCCAGTGTGAGTAGAAAATACCCCGATTGTCAATGGGAATAAACAATGCCTCGTCATTGGTATTAGTGGGAGGAATAGTGATCCATTGTTGGTAGTAGGGGGAAAAAGGGTGCCCCATCATTGGTATCCGGGAAAGGAATAGCGCCCCATCATTGGTATCCGGGAAAGGAATAGCACCCCATCATTGGTGTCAGTGGGAGGAATAGTTTCATAACAATGGTGTCAGTGGGAGGAATAGTGCCCCATCATTGGTGTCAGTGGGAGGAAATAGTGCCCCATCATTGGTGTCAGTTCTTGGAATAGTGCCCCATCATTGGTATCAGGGAAAGGAATAGTGCCCCATCGTTGGTGTAAGTGGGAGGAATAGTGCCCCATCATTGGTATCAGTGGGAGAAATAGTGCCCCATCATTGGTATCTGGGAAAGGAATAGCACCCCATCATTGGTGTCAGTGGGAGGAATAGTTTCATAACAATGGTGTCAGTGGGAGGAATAGTGCCCCCATCATTGGTGTCAGTTCTTGGAATAGTGCCCCATCATTGGTATCAGGGAAAGGAATAGTGCCCCATCGTTGGTGGAAGTGGGAGGAATAGTGCCCCCATCGTTGGTGGAAGTGGGAGGAATAGTGCCCCATCGTTGGTGTAAGTGGGAGGAATAGTGCCCCATCATTGGTATCAGTGGGAGGAATAGTGCCCCATCATTGGTATCAGTGGGAGGAATAGTGCCCATCATTGGTATCCGGGAAAGGAATAGCACCCCATCATTGGTGTCAGTGGGAGGAATAGTTTCATAACAATGGTGTCAGTGGGAGGAATAGTGCCCCATCATTGGTGTCAGTTCTTGGAATAGTGCCCCATCATTGGTATCAGGGAAAGGAATAGTGCCCCATCGTTGGTGGAAGTGGGAGGAATAGTGCCCCATCGTTGGTGGAAGTAGGAGGAATAGTGCCCCATCTTTGGTGTCGGTGAGAAGAATAGTTCCATAACATTGGTGTCAGTTGTAGGAATAGTGCCCCACCAATGGTATCCGGGAAAGGAATAGTGCCCCATCATTTGGTGTCAGTGAGAAGAACAGTTCCATAACATTGGTGTCAGTGGGAGGAATATTGTCCCATCATTGGTGTCAGTGGGAGGAATAGTGCCCCATTATTGATGTCAGTGGGAAGAATAGTTCCATAACATTGGTCTCAGTGGTATAAATAGTGCTCTATCATTGGTATAAGTGGGAGGAATATTGCCCCATCATTGGTGTCAGTGAGAGGAATTGTTCCATAACATTGGTATCAGTAGGAAGAATAGTGCCCCATCATTGGTGTCAGTGGGAAGAATAATTCCATAACATTGGTGTCAGTGGGAGGAATAGTGCCCTATCATTGGTGTCAGTGGTAGGAATAGTGCCCCATCATTGATGTCAGTGGGAGAGGAATAGTGCCCATAACATTGGTGTCACAGTGAGAGGAATTGTTCCATAACATTGGTGACAGTAGGAAGAATAGTTCCCATAACATTGGTGTCAGGAGGAATAGTGCCCCATCATTGGTGTCAGTGGGAGGAATAGTGCCCCATCATTGGTGTCAGTGGGAGGAATAGTGCCCCATCATTGGTATCAGTGGGAGGAATAGTGTCCCATCATTGGTATCAGTGGGAGGAATAGTTCCCCATCATTGGTGTCAGTGGGAGGAATAATGCCCCATCATTGGTATCAGTGGGAGGAATAATGCCCCATCATTGGTATCAGTGGGAGGAATAGTGCCCCATCATTGGTGTCAGTGGGAGGAATAGTGCCCCATCATTGGTGTCAGTGGGAGGAATAGTGTCCCATCATTGGTGTCAGTGGGAGGAATAGTGTCCCATCATTGGTATCAGTGGGAGGAATAGTGTCCCATCATTGGTGTCAGTTGTAGGAATAGTGCCCCATCATTGGTGTCAGTTGTAGGAATAGTGCCTTGCATCAGTGGGTGGAATAGTGCCCCAAGGACCTGGTAAAGGCAAGCAAAGGGCCACATCTGGCCCCCGGGCCACAGTTTTGAGACCACTGCTCTAGCACCACTGTGATGTGCTATCCATGTTGTTGCCCTAATCTTGCATTGCGTTCCTGCCTGGAGCCAAAGAAAAGAAACGGGACAGAAGCCCATAGCAACCAATCACGGCTTTCATTCTCTGCACAGAAATGCAGCTGTAGCCTGGCTCTAGTAGGTAGCACACCTTCATTGCCTCATTGGTAAAATTCGGATGTGTCCTCTCTTTATAGAACATGCATACCTTCATTAAATTTGTATTTCTATGACCGTCCCTGACAGTCTAAGCCCAGTTCCTCGGTACAACGAATTACTGAATTGTCAAGGATTGCAGCAGATGCTTGCTGTCTTATTATGCCAGCTTTCTTAATATTTGTATGTTTTTTTTTTTAGATCCTGAATACTGCTCGGAAGCACTTTGGTGCTGGCGGGAACCAGCGAATACGCTACACGTTACCCCCTTTAGTGTTTGCAGCCTATCAGCTCGCTTTCCGATACAAAGAAAATTCCAAAGTGGTGAGTAAATGGTTTGTGACTTCTTTTGGAAACTTTATTGGTTACAAGTTAAGCTTGTTTGTTTTTAACTTTTTACCTGTTGTCGCCTGTGTAATGTAGCAGACGCAGTGGCAAAAGGGTGGGCTTTAGTGCCCGCATGCCACACATGTGCTTTACTGGGCGACTGATGTTTTTGTGCCAAGAGTGCACTGCTCTTGGCACCCACTAGTGATCTGTAGCCAGTGGGACTGGCTCTTGAGCATGTGATCACTGGGACATCCAGTCACATTGGTCACATGATCGTTGATTTTTCCTTCCTCCCTGGTACAGACCCAATTAACCCCCTGGCGGTATTCCCGAGTGTAGCTCGGGGTAAAGTTTTAGCACCACAAGCGGTAACCCCCCCGAGCTACACTCTGGAATACACTGCAGCGTTGCTCCGGGATCTCTTTTGCACTTACCTTGTCCTGCGCTCCCGCGATGTCCCTCCTGCAGTGTCCCCAGCAATGTCCTCCGGCCGATGCCGGCATCTGTCTTCCGGGTTCCATTCCCTGCGACGTCGGGACGTACGGGGGACGGAACTGGCGGGAAATTTTAAAAATGTCAAAAAGTGACATTGACTAAATTCACTAAAATCACATAGTATAACATTCCTGTATCAAACCATTTCACATACATTGTGTCCCGAGTGCTTTGTCCGGCGCCCTGCCTGCATTTTTACTGTTCTTTCTGCCTGGAAACTGAGAAACGTCCATGGCGTCCAAAAAGCGTCCCTTTAGGTCAGACGCGGTTTTAGACCGGCTAGAGAACAGCGATAGTAAATCAGAACCACTTGCAGAATTGAGTGATAATGATTCGTGGGGAAATTCGTCATCAGACACTGAAAACGATTCTGCGACTTTGCTCAGCGATGTGTGAACTTGGCGCTCTATTTCACATTTCAGTGTTTTTGGTTTGATTATATTATTGAATTACATTTATTATTATATTATTTTTTATGATTATTTATTATATTATAATTTTATGATTTTGTGTTTCAAATTTTAACATACCCGGGATGTTTACTAGACTCTTGTTCGGACAGATTTCAGTGAGTTATTCCTAAAAATTACAGGCCTACAATAAAAAAAAATACATATTTCCATGCAAAAAAATGTACCGCTTTGAGCACAGAAATATGGACATAATCAGACCACTAGGGAGGCTACAGGGGTGCCAGGGCTGATGAGAAGGGGTTATAATAATTTGTACCTGTCTTTCAGTATGTGTACGCAATCTTTGCTTTGCAAAACGAAATGTCATACATGACAAAGGATATTCAGAGCAGTATGGTCTATCTGCACAGATGAAACAAAGAAATTGCCCATTTTCAAGCTTGCTTTTGCCTGTTTGTACCTTTTTTGACAGAAATGTCCTAAAAAATGTTTTTCCAAAAGGAAATTAAAAAAAAAAAAAATCTGCTGTAACTTTTCAAAAAGCATTAGCTGGAGTCGGACTCTGAAGATTCATTCATTCATGTGTATTTTAAAGCTGAACTTTAGGTTATGTTTTTTATTGCATATTTGCATTGATCCAGCTTGGCTCAATGTAAGTATGCATATCACCTACCTGAGGGGCCACAGGGGAACCTGGACAATCTCCACAGTAGTTGATGCTAATACAGTGAAAGCCAAGATCTTCCAGGTCCTGTGCCTAGCAGGTTTCCCACTGCACACTGGACCCCAGTGGAGGGGGGGGGGGGGGGTGGTTTGTCAAGCACTGCTGCCATTTACAGAGTGCCTTGCATTTTTTTCAGTAAACATAAGATGTTCTCTTATTGAACAAGGTGGTGAGGAGGGCAGCGACCACACCATCTCCACCTTGTCCAATCAGAAAATGCCTTGTAGTCGGTGACAAAAAAAAAGGCATTCTGTGACTGGTGGCAGTGCCAAGCAAGTGACACCATTGTCATTATGCAGAGGAAAAGTTGCTTGGCACAGGACACAGAGGATTGTGGCTATGACTGTAGCAGCACTGACTACTACGTTGATTATACCTGAGGGGCCGATGAGGAAGTGGACAGAGTTTACTTAGACTGGGCCAAGCTGGACCAATATAAGTAATGTGTGTGTGTGTATGTATATGTGTATGTGTGTGTGTGTGTGTGTGTGTGTGTGTGTGTGTGTGTGTGTGTGTGTGTGTGTGTGTATGTATATGTATGTGTGTGTGTATGTATGTATGTATGTATATGTGTATGTGTGTGTGTGTGTGTTGTTGTGTTTGTGTTTATATGTGTATTTGTGTTTTTTTATTGTTTTTTTGTTGTTTTTTTTTGTTGTTTTTGTTTTTTTGTGTGTGTTGTTTTTTTATGTATGTATGTGTTGTATGTTTATTTTTATGTTTGGATTTTTTTGTTTTTATTGTTATTTTTTTTGTTATGTTTTTGTGTATTTTTTTGTGTAGTTTTTTTGTTTTTTTTTTTTTTTTTTTTTTTTTGTTTTTTATGTGTTTGTTTTTATTTTTTTTTTTTTATTTTTTGTAGTATATTTATTTTTTATTTTATTTTTTTTTTTATGTATATTTTTTTATTTTTTTATTTGTATGTATATGTTTTTGTATTTTTTGTATATTATATTTATTGTTTTTGTATGTATTTTTATGTATTTATTTTTTAGTATGTATATATGTATATTTATGTATGTATTTTATTTATATTTTTGTATATATATGTATTTTATATTTATGTGTTTTTATATATATTTTGTATTTTTTTGTTTATTTATATGTATGTTGTATTATATTATTTTGTTTGTATTATATTTGTTTGTTATATTTTATTTTTGTGTTTTTATATATATAATTTTAATGTATTATATTTAGTATTGTGTGTGTATATATGTGTGTATATATATGTGTGTGTGTGTATGTATGTATGTATGTATGTGTGTGTGTGTGTGTATATATATATATATATATAATATTAAAGATTCTATCTGGAGTCCAGCTTTAATATATGTTATTTACCTGTAAAAGCCTCCATTTTATTACCATCCAAAAGCCCAAAAAAGGGTAAAAGAGCTGGGCCAGCACAGACCGTAATTAGATACTCCCAGAAAAGGTGAGGGCTGGGACGTTTATTGAAGGAGGGGGCAGTGCTAAAGAATTGACTCTTCCTGGAGTAGTCAAATTTTCCAGCACGTTTAAAGGCACACACCAAGTGAGTGCAAATCATTTATGGAAAAGAAAAACCCAATGTGAATAAGCATTTAGAATACTTTATTATTTTTCTTTACCTTACCTGCAATTTTTGTTTTACTATCTAATCTTTAGAAAACTACATGGCCTTCTAAGACTACCCTGTCCGCAGGGTGACATGATTTAAAGTGTGTGTTTCCTTTAATGTAAACCCTTACATATACTCTGTGAAGTGACTGGTCTCAGGTGATACACAGAGATGAAACAAATCCTCCTACATAAGGTGTACCTGTTTATCTGTAAAACTTCCTTTTTCTACATCCATTTGAAGTGCAGAATTTTTAAAAGCTTGCCTGAGCTTCCAGGGAACTGGGGGTGGAGAGCTGAAATTACACACTGCAGAGCTCTGTGAGGAGGGCTCTGAGAGCTGATTGGAGGAAAGAGACACATGCCCCTTCACACAGGAACAGAGCTGAGGGTGTTAAGTCACAGATTTTGTGATGGAGCTCCCCCCCCCCCCCCCCCCCCGGCCATCAATTTTCTCTTGGTGTCAGGAAAACTTGTCAGAAGTGACGCATGCAGGCAGCAGAGGACAAAGGCAGCAGACAGAAAGGACACTTAGTTCCCTAAATGTAGACAAGTACACACTACAAAGTGGGGATATGCTTTGTTCATATTTCCAGTCTGAAGTTTACAACCACTTGAAATATTTTTTTTTTTCTGTGTGTGTGTTCACCTATGTGTATTTTTATAAATCATAGCCTCAATCATTTTCATGTATTGCTTCCATCTGCAATACCTGGTTGATCCTGCCATTCACCTTTCATCCCCTGTTCTAAACTGACCACACATACCACAGATGCTCTGTAGTGTGGTCAGTTTTCATCCTTTGGTTTGCCATTCAGAGGTACAGGACACTGTCCAGACACACAGCATGCCTGTATTGGTTAGTTTGATCAGCCACCATACCAGTGACCAATCTCAGCCTACATTTTGAACACGCCCCCTGCTCATGCAGAACCTGCATCTTGCCTCAGGATGAACAGACTATGGAAAACGGGCACCCTGTATGCCTGCAGTTTCCTGTAACCCCACCCCCCCTCTATCAGGAAGAAGTGATGTATTGTATGGTCACATGAGAGAACTTTTTAACCTTGTTAAAAAAAGTAACAAAGATCATTTCTGAAACTAAGCAGAAGCGGTTATGGTGGCTGCATAGTTATAAATATCTATAACAACATTTTATGTTCACAACTATAACTGCCATTCATGTGCATGTTGCTTGATACATACCTCCTGCCTAAACATTGTTGGTGACCAAGTACACCGCTTCATGGAAACCATCTTCTCTGATGGAAATGGGCTCTTTTATCAGGATAATACGCCCTACCACACTGCAAAAATGATTCAAGAATGGTTAAGGAACATGAGTTTGAAGTGTTGAATTGGCCTCCAAATTCTCCTGATCTCAATCCAATCAAGCATCTGTGGGATGTGCTGGTAAAAACAAGTCCTAATCCATGTAGGTCCCACCTCACAATTTACAGTATTTAAAGGATCTGCTACTGATGGCTTGGTGCCAGATGCCACAACATACACTATATTGCCAAAAGTATTGGATCACCCCTCCAAATCATGTGATTTAGGTGTTCCAATCACTTCCGTGGACACAGGTGTATACAATCAAGCCCCTAGGCATGCAGACGGCTTCTACAAACATTGGTGAAAGAATGGGTCGCTCTCAGGAGCTCAGTGACTCCAAGCGTGGTCCCGTGATAGGTGGTCACCTGTGCAACAAGTCCATCCGTGACATTTCCTGGCTACTAAATATTCCAGCTCAACTGTTA